TGAGATCGATGATATCGATGAGATTTATATTCAAATATTTCTTCTTAGAGCGTATTGATTTGACCCTATAAGCGGGACCACCACCCAATAGCATGTTGCCACCTAGAGAATCTCCTAATTGTTTCAGAGCAACTAGAAAGAGATTCTTTAACCAGAAAGAATTCGGTTCAGATGTAGGATACCTATCCAGAAGTTTTCGGTGAGCAACGGCCCCTAGCGCCCAGAGCAAGCGCCTTTAGTGTTCCCGACCGCCTGCCTTTCGGCCTTAGCGTTCCAAACAACCAGTAGTGTGACCGATCTGTGTTCAAAACAACCGATGACGCTAGCGACGACTCGTGGGGCCCCCTAACGCCGAACAAAAAAAAAGGACTAGTGCTATAACGACGAGTGGTGTGGTCCTAACAACCTAATATGGTAACGACAACTCGTAGTGGTCCTAACTACTAGCAACAACCACTACGGCAAGCGCCACAACGACGATAACGCTAGACCGTAATATATAGGCTTGCGAAGCAACCACTCCCTTGGTAACCTTGCTCCGCAACCATCGAGTCGGCCTTACCAAACCAAAGACAACTAGTGTTCCCAAAGACGGAAGAACGACATGCGACGGAACAAGACGGTAAAGCAACCACTCGTTGTCGTTTAGTTGTCCGTCACTCGTAGTCTCTGCGTCATAGGTGGTTGTTCGGAAGGGTTTGACAACGTAACAGACAGCTAGGCAGTTACTACGCAACACACATTGGGGTGGTGCAACAATGGAACGACTAGTAGTCTACGACTAGTGGTGTTACGGAACAACTACCCGACGAGTGGTAATAACGACAACTACAGTAGGTTTGACAGTAGCGTTAGGACGACTGGTTCTCGTAGTTGTATTGCCCTAACGCAACGACTCAAACAACTACGAGTGCTCCCAAGACGATGAGACGCATGCGCTATACCGTCGAGTATTGCTTGCAAAGCAACCGCAACTCGTTGTAGGTCCTCTCCTTACATTACAGT